TTGTGGTGGTTCATCAGCACCGTGACTACTATGTCGTTGACAGCATAGGACGCCCCTATGTCTTCGTTAGAAAAATGGAACTTCTTCACCAGAATAGACCGTTGCTGAAAAATGCCGCTGAAGTAATTGCCAGTTTCATCCTCCATAACAGCTCTGGAATCACCATAACGTAGACTAGGGAAATCGACGTTTGTTGCTTTATTAAGTTCTTCAACGGTAAAGACTCGATAAGGAATATTATACTTACCATTAGAGGAAGCAATAAGCCCTTCTAACAGCTTGCCTCCATTTTCAATATACCAAGGCGATAATTTCTCATTCCTCCTTTTCAAGAACCTTATCTTTCTTTTCACCCACTCCATGAATAATTGCAAATGAGGAAACAACCCAAGTCTTCAAAAAACTTTAGAAAAAGCAAAAATAATAATTAGATGCTGGGTCTTAATAAAGACTTTATTCCAAGCATAAAGTCAAAATGGCAATAATTCGGTCTTTGGTTTCAGATTTCTGTTTCCTGGATCTTGCACGCAGACTAAAAGTCTTTGTGTGAAGTTTCAACGGAATTTGGTAAAAATTAATGTGTAATTTCATTAATTCAAGAGACTAAAAATGAATGCAAGTTCTCGATACTCGAACTCTTACCTCGATCAAAATCAAATCTTTTGTATTTCTTCTTTTTACATTTCTTGCTTTCGATAAATCGTAAAGTTACTTGTACATTTTTTTTACATATTGATGTACGGGAGAGAGAAAAAAAAAAAACAATTTTGAAGGTGGGAGGGTGAAGAGTCGGTGTAAAATGTTAGTGGCAGCCAGCCTAGTTTGATTTCGACTTTTGAGGTAAATGATGATCCATTAAATTATTGTGTGTTAAATTAGCCCAGGTTTGATCCATTAAATTATATTAATATATATTTTTCTCTATAATAATAATAAAATAATATCACACGTAATCGAAAATTTCTCCTTCATTTTTAATTATTCATTCTCCAAAAAAAAACATTACATCAAAAATTATAATACCAAATAATGAGACCACATGGGGGGCTTAATATCATTCTCCTTCCTTTTTCAAAAGAGATGTTTAGAAATAAACATATTGTTAAATTTTTAAGTTTAGGCAGATGTGCAATCTGAACATGTTTGGCTAAGGTTAAAAAATTTACTTACAAGTAAATAAGTAAGTTTAAAAATTTAAACTCTTTTAATGGTAGAAGTTGAAAATAAGTAATTTTTTTATTTATTTATAAAGTAAAAGGAAATAACATATAGACCTTAAATGGATAGATAAGTTGAAAATGATGACTTGAAGATAATCTCAAATAAAGAGAAAATATAAAGACCTCTTTTAAATAAAGACTTGAAGGTGCAACCACTTTTTAAAAGCAAAATACCATCAATTTAAT